GCTCTACCGAAGGTCCCAGTGCCACCGCCCGCATCCGTCACGCACACCCATTTCGGCACACCCCTCATACGTGTCGTGGTCCCAGAGGGAGCCCCACCGAAGGCCCCAGTGCCACCGCCCGCATGCGTCACGCACACCTATTGCGGCATACCCCTCACACGCTTCGTGGCCCCACAGGGAGCTCCACCGAAGGCCTCAGGGCCACCGCCCGCATGCGTCACGCACACCCATTTTGGCACACCCCTCACACGTTTCGTGGTCCCATAGGGAGTCCCACCGAAGGCCCCAGTGCCACCGCCCGCATGCGTCACGCACACCCATTTCGGCACACCCCTCACACGCTTCGTGGCCCCATAAGAAGCTCCACCGAAGGCCTCAGTGCCACCGCCCGCATGCGTCACGCACACCCATTTCGGCACACCCCTCACGCGCTTCGTGGCCCCATAAGGAGCTCCACCGAAGGCCTCAGTGCCACCGCCCGCACGCGTCACGCACACCATGTTCGGTACACCCCTCACACGTTTCGTGGTCCCACAGGGAGCCCCACCGAAGGACCCAGTGCCACCGCCCGCATGCGTCACGCACACCCATTTCGGCACATACCTCATGCGTTTCGTGGCACCATGGGGAGCTCCACCGAAGGCCCCAGTGCCACCACCCGCATGCGTCACGCGCACCCGTTTCGGTACACCCCTCGCACGTTTCGTGGCCCCATAAGAAGCTACACCGAAGGCCCCAGTGCCACCGCCTGCATGCGTCACGCACACCCAATTTGGCATACCCCTCATATGTTTCGCGGCACCATGGGGAGCTCTACCGAAGGCCCCAGTGCCACCGCCCGCATGCGTCACGCACACCCATGTCGGCACACCCTCAACACGTTTCGTGGCCCCTTTGGGAGCTCCACCGAAGGCCCCAGTGCCACCGCCCGCATGCGTCTCGCACACCCATTTCGGCACACCCCTCATACGTGTCGTAGTCCCAGAGGGAGCCCCACCGAAGGCCCCAGTGCCACCGACCGCATGCGTCACGCAAACCCACTTAGGCACACCCCTCACACGCTTCGTGGCCCCACAGGGATCTCCACCGAAGGCCCCAGTGCCACCGCCCGCATGCGTCACGCACACCCATTTCGGCACACCCCTCACACGTTTCGTGGTCCCATAGGGAGTCCCACCGAAGGCCCCAGTGCCACCGCCCGCATGCGTCACGCACACCCATTTCGGCACACCCCTCACACGCTTCGTGGCCCCATAAGGAGCTCCACCGAAGGCCTCAGAGCCACCGCCTGCATGCGTCACGCACACCCATTTCGGCACACCCCTCACGCGTTTCGTGGCACCATAGGGAGTTCCACCGAAGGCCCCAGTGCCACCGACCGCATGCGTCACGCACACCCATTTCGGCACACCCCTCACACGCTTCGTGGTCCCATAGGGAGCCCCACCGAAGGACCCAGTGCCACCGCCCGCATGCGTCACGCACACCCATTTCGGCACACCCCTCATTCGTTTCGTGGCACCATGGGGAGCTCCACCGAAGGCCCCAGTGCCACCGCACGCATGCGTCACGCACACCCATTTCGGCAACCCTCTCGCGCGTTTCGCGGCCCCATGGGGAGCTGTGGCGAAGGCCCTAGTGCCACCGCCCGCATGCTTCACGCACACCCATTTCGGCACACCCCACACGTTCCGTTGCCCCGAAGGGAGCTTCACCGAAGGCCCCAGTGCCGCCGCCCGCATGCGTCACGCACACCCATGTCGGCCCACCACTCACATGTTTTGCGACCCGTTGGGGAGCTCCGGCGAAGGCCGTAGTGCCACCGCCCGCATGCGTCATCCACGCCCATTCCGGCAGCACCCCTCTCCACCGAAGGCGCCAGTGGCTGCGTTCGCATGCGCCCACCGCACCCATGTCGGCACACCCATCACACGCTTCGCGGCCCCACAAGGGGCTCCACCGACGGCCCCAATGGCTGTGTTCGCATGCTCCCACTGCACCTATTTCGGCACACCTCGCACGTGCTTCGCCACTTGGAATTCTACCGACGGCCCCAGTTGCTACTTGCGCACGCGCCAACCGTGCAAATTTTGGCACACCCCTCACACGTTGCGTGGCCCTATAGGGAGCGCCTCCGAATGCGGTGCATACAACGACGGTGTTCACAACTGCATATGGCTTGGTTTTTCGCCAGTCTAAGTTGGATCTCTTCGGAGACCCTCGTCGCCACCGCTGGATTCGCCTCGAGATTCTGGTCAGAACGCATCCCGGGAGAGGTCCGGGGCGTAGCGGTATCGGTACCTTTGGTTTTCCCAGTTTCTGCGTTCGAGGATTCTCGGCGGAGAGCGAGGGAGGGAAATGAGAAGGGGCGGGCCGTCTCATAAGGCTCGGAAGTCCCCACGCCTTCTGAGAAGTTTTCCAAGCCTTCCCCGAAAGCACACGCATAAGACACCGATCAGAAGGCGCGAGGGCTCCTGAGAGGTCCCGCCTTCTTCTGAGAAGGCCTTCTCCTTCTCGTTTCCCCCCCTCGCTCGCCGCCAAGATTCAGCTTCGACGCGATGGCTTCTGCGTGCGACGCCGTGTTTTCCAGGCCTCCGGGTGGCCTCCGGAGGGCGTTCTCGTCGCGGCGGCTGGAACCCCTTCGACGTCCTCCTCCGAATGCATCGCCGGGTAGGTCTGGGCGTTTTGTTGGCAGGAGCGATTTCAATGGTGATAGGACGAAGGAGGGAAAGGCACCCAGATTGGAGTCGGAGGGTGCGAAGGAGAGCGGGAGGGCTGCTGCTTGCGCTGGGCGGACGGCCATATGCACTCGTATCTCATCCGCATGGCGAGTAGCTCCCGCGTGTGACCTCCACCTTTTCCTCCTGCCTGCCGCAGCGCGCCTCCGCGCGTCCCCAGTCCGCGCCCGCGACGCGTGGCGCGCGCAAGGCGCGCGCGCCTCGACCGCCGCGGCCGCGGGGCCCCCCGGGCACCACTGGGGGTCCGACGTTTCTGTTCGAGGGGAGGAGGGGATCGCCGTGGGGGAACGGGTCCTGAGGGAAGGGGGTCCTGAGGTCTTTCGCCGTTTTCGGGCTCCCCGGGCCCTCCAGGGGCCCCCAGGAGTGTGAGGAAACGACTCAGGATGACGATCTCGCCCTTGGGGGAAGGCCCTGGGGTCCAAGACTCGTTTCCCTCAGGACCCGTTTCCCCCATGCTGAGAGGAGATGAGGGAGGGGCCGCCATTTTCCCATCCTCTCCGCTTCCTCTCCTTTCGTTGTCCTCATGATCCTTTCTCCCTCCCTTCTTCCATCCCGCTTCTGTCTTCTCCCACGGTCCGTCAGTCCCTCTCCCTGGATGGTCCAGGGCTGCGGAGCCAGCGCTACACAGGCCACAGAGGTTTCCCCGAGTGCAGATTCACACTTCGACAACAGCCAAGGGGCAGTTGTATTACGGCTGGGGTCTACATTATGTGCGATAAGGAGTACCTTCTTGGAAATTTATAGTGAGTCAGGCTGGTTCGCGTGGAAGGGACTATGAATGAAGGTTTCTTGGGGAGCGTTTGCCCGTTCTGGTCCCGCCGTCGTTCCCGATGCTCCTCCCCCTTGACCCATGCAGTCAATGTGCGCGCGTGGCAGGCAGTAGGTCAGCATCGTAGTGCTAGTAGTTTTTTGATAGGAACCCGAATGACTTAGCGGCCAGACGAATCGCGCGCTCCAAGAAAGTGGCGCCGGCGGCCAGACGGTGTTTGTTTCTTTGTGTGGTTCCGAAGTTGCCGCATGTTGGAGTTCGAGAGTTCGTACAATTTGGGAGCCTTGCCCATTCTCTCTTCATTTGTTCTTCCACCTCATTATTGCGTGGTCTCCTAGTTCTTCTCCTTCTCTTATTCCTCCCCCGCTCGTCTTTTCCTCCTCCCGCCTTCTCCCTCCAGCAAGACTGCCATATGCGAAACCGCAGTATCGCAACAGCACTATGCCTTCCTCATCCTTTCTTCCCTTTTCCTTGTACTACCGGCCGGCCTTTCTCGGCCATCGTGTTCTTCACGGCGTCTCGCAGCCATGGCGTTGCTCTTGCTCCAATGGCTTGATGAGCGCACGTCCTGCGTGGTTTTGGGGTGTTCGTCAGGAGCGAAGCATGAGGGGGAGGATATGAAGGGGGGAATGAAGAGTGCTAAGAGCCTCCTAGCAGGGGGGAGGAGGAGGGGGGGAAATCTTCGGAAGAAGAGGATGGTTCTCGGGTGTGGTTCCTACGTGGCTCCAGCATGGGGTCGGGGTGTGTGTGTGGGGGGGGGGGGCGAACTGTGAGCGCTAATTGTCCCAGGCGAGCCTGAGAGGAGGATACATTGGCCAAGGTCGTCCTGGAACACACGCTGAGCGTTCCAGAACGCTTTAGAGCGGCCGCGGTGCCCCATACATCCTCCAGCGCCGCTAGCCCTTAGAGATTCCCGAGTAATCCTCATCCGAATTTGTCCACATCTTGCGTTCGTCTTATCATCTGCGAGGGGCAAGGGTAAGGAGGTTGCGATTGAGCAGGATTTGGAGGGGGAGGAGGCGGAGGAGGAGCCGGATTTGGAGAGGGAGTATGGCGGGGGAAATGGGATGGGGCGGTTCGTTCGGTGCCCCCTGCATGCCCCAATCTTACCCTCCCCTGCCCTCCCCTCAATCCTCGTCTCTTTCCTTGTAGGGGAGGGGTGATGGAGGGGACATTTGTGAGGAGGGTGCGCTGATTGGGCAGTTCGCTTCGGGCCAGGTGGGCAGCAGCGAGGTCGGAGATGGACCAGGAGGAGGAGCAGTAGCAGGATGACGACGAGGATAGTGTTGATAATCACGACGATTGCGATGATGACGAGAAGGAGGAGGTGGAGGAGGACGAGGAGAAGGTACGCCGAAACGGGACATATTGGCGACGGATGCAATGGAGATGAATGCGTAGGTGGATGGGGATGAGCGACGAGAGTGGAGCGGAGTAAGTGATTTGCGTGGAAAGACGGTTGTAGCGAATGGTTGCAGACAACGCGAGACTAGGAGTACGTGAATTACGTCCTGACCTACGGAGGCGAGAATTCATTGAAGAGAACATTGACCGACAGTTTAGAGCTGGTGTCCTCCATCAACGTCATGACGGACTTCAACGGTGGAGGAGACGCTTCCATCTCGTCAACTGCGAGTTGCCCTCACTCTCTCCCGTCAATGTCTCCCCACTTTCTGCATCCTCCCTCTCTCTTGCCGCCCTTTCACCTCCCCTTCCCCCCCCCCGCCCCTCTCCCTTCCCACAGTTACCACCCGCCTCCACTTTCCCCTTCTGCCTGCTGCCCCTCCCCACCCTCCTCTTCTCCACAATTACTCAACATGAATGCTACTCTCACTCTTCCCCTGATGACGGCTTGAAAGAGTTAGCCCCCCCCTGCGTATTGTTTTTTACACAGGATTCCCCGGAGTTGGGTTTTCGCTTGCATTTGTTTCCAAAATGCTGCTCGCGCTGAGGCGCCGGCCTCATTTTCGGGCCCCGCTCGTTCCGAATCGTGCTCCCGCTGCAGCGCTGGCCTCATTTCCGCGCTTCCGCTCGTTCCGCATCGTGCTCCCGCTGCAGCGGTGGCCTCATTTCCGCGCTTCCGCTCGTTCCGACTCGTGCTCCCGCTGCAGCGTTGGCGTCATTTCCCGTGCCATGCCACGGCACGCAATGCAATGCTCGGTTGATGCTACGCTTTGCGGTGCTCTTCTACGCCATGCCATGCCGTGCTCTACAATGCATCTCATACCCTTTCGGGATCATTGTCCTGTTCGACATCCGACTGTGCGAGTAGAGAGGTGATCTGCGCCATGGTAAGGGATGGGAGGGAGGGTAGGATGTCAAATATGACGCGAGCGCACCTAGCTTGTCCCCTCCCCTCCCCTTCATCCCTTCCCTCCCCTCGCCCCCCCTTCCTCTCCCTTCCCTCCCCTTCATCCCTTCCCTCCCCTCCTCTTGTCCTTCCCTCCCCTCCTTCCCTCCCTTCACCTTCCCTCCTCTTCTCCTCCCTTCCCCTTCATTCCCCCCCCCCGCACTCCCCTGCACTCCGGTCCTCTACGCTGCACTCCCCATCCCGTTCCCTCTTCCTCCAAACCTGTAGCATCCCATGCCCGCACGCCCTTCTAAGTCCCATCCTTCCTACTCTGCTCTCCCTCGCCCGTCTCGCACGCCTCGCCCTCCTCCGCCTCCTCTTCTGCATCCCTCCAGCCTCCTCATGCTCCGGATCCGGATGCGTGGAGAGGTGGCTGCCCCAGTTTCGGTGCAAGGGACGTTTCTCTCGCTCCTCCGACAGCGTCCCTCAGCCGAGTGCCCTTGTGCGACGGCGTGCATGCAGTGGGATAGTGGCAGGAGGGAAAACAGAAACCCAGAAAGCATGGGAAACTATGGGGGAATCCTGCTATTAGTGTCTATTTATTTGTGTGCCAGGGCCCCTTCAATATCCTCGGTCCTTCTCTGGCGGCCCCAGGGCTCAGCAGGGGCCCCGCGAGGCCGAAGACGGCCAAGCACCTTACGTTGGAGGGGGAGGAGGAGGAGGGGGAGGAGGAGGAGGAGGAGGAGGAGGAGGAGGAGGAGCAGGAGGAGAGGTCTCTTCGCGGCGAGAGCGGGTCTTGGTTGGTCTATGCCCCGCCAGGCATGAGCTTCTTCCTCACCATCAGGCTCACGCCCAGCGGTCGCGAGCACCCCGAGCTGGTGCTGGACGTGTTGTATTCCTACCTCGCGGCCCCCTCCGCTCCCCTCCCTTTCGTCCTCCCACGCCACCTCCTCGAACCCTGCCTCGTCGACGATGTTGCCTGAAGCAGCGTGTGTGTGTGTGTGTGTGTGAGTGTGTGTGTGTGTGAGTGTGTGTGTGTGTGTGTTTGTGTGTGTTTGTGTGTGTGTGTGTGTTTGTGTGTGTGTTTGTGTGTGTGTGTGTGTGTGTGTTCCATGATTTCATTGTCTTGCTGGCCCCTTGCCGTCCTGATTCGGGCCGACTTGGCCTCTGCCTTGCTGCCTGCTGCCCGGGCCAGACCTTTTTGTCCCTGCTCCTTGCCTTGGCGCCCGCGCACGCGGTCTCCCGCGCAGGCGCTTGACGCCATGGCGATGCGCTTGACCGCGACGACCAACAAGTGTGCGTGCGTGTGTGTGTGTGTGTGTGTGTGTGCGTGTGTGTGTGACCCGCTTGCTGGAGACAGCTCGCCGTGTGTGTGTGTGTGTGTGTGCGTGCGTGTGCGATGAGGGGGCGGATGACGAGGGCGAGGTTGGGGCATAGCTGAGGCATTTGCGGAGGAGGACTGGGAGGAGTGGTTACGACGACGCGTGCCGAGGGGGAGCGTGAGGAGGAGGGGGAGAAGGATGGACAACTGGGCTGGACGGCGCGGAGTGTTGGAGCAGTGCGCACGTGAGATCAGACCGGGCGCTGGGCATTGCGGGACTCATACGGCTGTGTATTAGTTTTCAGCCTTTTGCCCATCCTCCACTGCTTCAGCCCGTCTCCCGTCAAGTGCTCCCTCCGCTCGCAGTGATATTTCCTCCTTGGTCGCATCTTCCTTGAGTCGCGCCTCCCCTCTCCACCCGACGGGAGACCTGTTCTCGGGTCAGGCGACGGCTGGAGTTCTCGGGCCCGTCCGCCCCCCCCTCCTCCCGAATAACCGGACCTTGTCGGTGGCGCAGGTCCGAACGGGGGTGCAGTCGGCCCGGATTGGTAGGTCGACCCTGCCAGCTCAAGGGTACCCTGGCGTCCTGTGCCTCGCGACACGTGCCTTCTTGCACTCCTACGGCGATGTGGCCCTCGGAAGGGTCTTGTGTCCTCTCGCGTGTCCTGTCCAATCAATGCCGACTGTACGCAACATGGGTGCGCGCGGGCATATGTGTGGTTTCCCAAAACAAAAAGAGGTGGTTGTCGGCCGGCCTTACCCCCCCCCTCCAGCGGATGACCCGGTTGATCGCTGACAAATATCAGCGGTCGACTGCAGCACCTGCCCCGTTCCCGTGTTCCTCCATTCTCTTGTGTAAGCTTTCTATGCAGCCGCATCCAGCCCTCAGGCGGTGCGCCGAGTGGGAGTGGATGCGACACTGTACGCGTCTCTGGCCGACTTGATGAGGCACGGCACGTGATGGTGGGAAAGCTGATGGTGGGGAGGAGGGTACGGCTGAGAAGCAGGAACATGATGGGGTGTATTCACGAGTTGTGAACATGTCCGTATCCGAGTCCTCCCGGTCTGGATTCCGGGGTTCGATGCCGCGGATACGCGGTGGCACGGATACGTTCTGTGAGGGGCATGCGCGACAAAACGCCTCGTATCCGCGTTGTCGTGGCCCAGGGGCCTTGCCCGCGAGGTCGCGGATACGGATTTGTTTTCTCGCCCACGATTTATGACGAGTTTGAGTTGCAAAAGGGAAGGACGGGAGTTAGCGATCTGTCAGATGTACTACGTTCCCCATGTGCGTGCCCTGGCCGCATGCCGACTGGGCACGCTGTCCATAGAATTGGATTCGCATGAGGACGTCAGTTGTGGGTGGTACGAGGGTCGCACGTCCTGCAGGTGAATAACATTGTGAGGGAAACGCGCCCTGCTACCTGAGGTTCGGCGCCATCTATGCTCGAAGAGATGAGCAATCTTCGAAGTGCCAGGACAGCCAATGTGTGCGACCCAGCTGTGCATCTTGCCTCGATGGAGTATCGTGAGGCCACTACACACTACAGCGGGACACACAATACCTTCATACAGCAGCTCTCCCCTTCAGAAGGTTTCGGCGAGATGCGCGCGGCACCTTGCCATGGTCGGGCGAGGCCCGCCACAGCGTGCCGGTGCGATGCCGATGAGATCCGCATCGACCTCGGATGGCACGTCTTCGCGCTTCTCCGGCACCCGTCTCTGCTCGTGCGCTCCCGCGTCTTGCCCCCCGCTTGACCTGCTGCTGCTGCTGCTGCTCCTGCTCTCTCCCATCTGCTCGGATGCAACTCCTGGGAGGTCAAATTCTGTTTTCGCCCTGGTCCGAAATCCGGCTTAATCCCGCTTAATCCCGCTTAATCCCGCTTAATCCCGTTTAATCCAGCTTAATCCCGCTTAATCCGAGGCCCATTCCGGCGTAACAGCCCCCCAATGGTGCTTAATCCTCCTTAATCCTTCCGACGAAAACCTCCCAGCAGTTGCCTCCTAACATCTGCCTCCCCCTCGCGCGCCAGACAGGCGCCCCGGAGAAGCCAAGGGGAAAACACGGCATAGACATCCACTTTCGGCGCTCCGCGCCGCCCCTGGCGCGCTCCGCGCGCCAGGGAGGGGGGTCCATGCGATCCGCGCGCGCTCCCGCAGACGCAAGAAATCCGCTCGGAGCGCCAAGAATTGCTTCTTCTTCTGCACACGGTGAGCGCGACGACGAATGCGTGCGACCCGAGTGAGAGTTGCGCGATCGGAGATGCCGCACTCCGACAAGTAGGAGCAGGACGAGGAGGAGGGTGAGGCGGACATGCCGATGGAGGGTGATGACGGGGGGAGGGGGCATGGAGGAGCAGGAACGAGGAGTGAGGGAGGAAGGAGTGGATGGGAAAGCGGGAGAAGATGAGAATGTCTTCTTCGCGCAGTCCGAACCTGCCAGCTTATCTCAAGCCCGCAGTCTTTCGGTGCAATCGTGGCTGCTCGTGTGCCAGTCGAGGCTTCGAGCTCGTCTCGCAGAGCGGGCATCCCTGCCCTGGCGGAGAGGCCCCCGGCCCTCTGGCCGGGTAGGTATTGCTGGTAGCAGCAGCACCACCACCATCGCATGCCACGACCTCCGCTGCTTTCGCTCACCCGCTTCGTGTCGTTCGTCCCCCCTGTATTTGTAGCATTTAGTCGGGCCTGTCTCTCTACAGGAGGCAAATTCAAAAATAGTCAAGACATAGGATGGGGACGATTTTTGTTGAGGATGTGTGCACCCTTTAAACAAAATATAGTGGAACTATTTTTATGTTTCGTCCAAAGTCTGGCTGTAGGAGGACGCGCCCGACCTAACTGTAGCATCCCTTCCCAAGCGTGTGGCGCCCGTCGCGCAGGTCGCCACCCCGTCTGCGCTCTGCGTGCTCGGAGCGTGCCCCCGCCCCGCTCCGGGCCGCCGCGTGGCCCGCCTGCCCCCCGGGCGAGCACCCCGGGCCGCGCGCCAGGCTCAACTGGGACTGGGCGCAGCCGTCGCACGGGAAGGACGCGGTGACGGACTTCGCGGAGCCGCCGCGGAGAATTCTGATGGGGTGGAGGGTGAGGCATTACATCGCAAACCGGAGCATTCACATTACCAGTTGCGGGCTGTTCTGCAACCCCACGACTTCGGGGTGGTGTGGTGTATACTTTTCCCGCGCTTTCCAAAGGAAACAACGAAAAATGTATACACCAGGATCCCGTATACACCAGAACGCGCGGTCTTGTGCGAATTTCAGCGCAGGGTCGGGAAACGCGTCGGTGTATAGAGTTCGTTTCCCTAATTCCAGCGGGGGCGCGCAGCAAGAGACCATGTGCTTTCCGTCGGGGTGTCCTGGGTGTCTCCGCTCCTCGCGCTGCGCGGTGGCTTCCCGCAGCCGTTGGGGCACTGCGTTCAGGGTGCTCAGGGGTTCCCCTCAGGTGCACCTCGCGCATGGGTTCTCAGGGTTGGGTTTCGTGCGAGGGTTTCTTGCGGCCGCGCCCGCACTGTCGGGGAGCGAACAGTGGCATCCGAGTTTTTCTGTTTGTGTCCGCGTTCGTTTCCCTAAAATGTCACTGTTTGGTTGTGTCACTGTTTGTTTGTGTCACTGTTTGTTTCTCCCAGGGATGAGTTTGATGGGACGGAGGGTGAGGCAGCCCCCCTCGTCGGTGTCGCCGTCGGCAGCTCAGCGACGAGGCCTCCGACGACGGCGGCGCCGACGGAAACGACGACGGCGGCGACTATGACCTCGTCGTCGGGGGGCGGAGAGGGAGATGGAGTGGACGGGCCTGGGGAGTTTGAGCTCGAGAATCGGGAGGACGAGGAGCGTGAGGAGGAAGACGATGCATGCTCGATGCCATGGCGAGAAGGCGCCGGAGTGGGAGAGGGAGGGAATGAGGGAGTGCAGCGCCAACCGCTGTCATCTCAGGAGCGCTTGACGCAGCTGCCCGTGGACCATCTTCTCTCAGGCGCGGGTCGTCGCTGTCGCGCTTCTTCGGTATTCGGAGGAAGTCACAGATTGCTCGTGAAATCCACAACGTTCAGAGGGGCAAGAAACACACAGACACAATTAAATGTCACTTTCCAACAAACCATTGGAAAATATGGGAAGTGGGGCGGAACACGAAAATCAAGGACATGTGAAGAAATGCTGGGAATCCTTGGCTTTGCATGTATTTATTTGTGTGTCCCTGGGCCCCTTCAAACGTCCCCTCTTGACCGCTGCTCCGGGTTTCGGGGCGACGGGGGGCACAGGGTGGTGAGGGTTGGTGGGGGTGTCTCCCGTGGCTCCTTTGCCACACGCGCTGCCTGCAGCCGATTTCAGATTGAACATGCTTCGACGTCGGATTTCGTAATTCGGTCTGGCCCATCCGCCAATTCCTGTTCTCGATCTGCGTCACTTCTTTCTCCTCCTTCCTCTTCTGCCTTCCACCCCTTTTCCCCTGATCCTCTCCCCAGGATCCCTCTCCGCTGAACGGAGCCAATGTGGCTCTGTGTTGGTTCAGAACTCTGCTCTGCACCGCGCTCATCTGTACTGCTCGGCGAAGCGAGAAAGAGAGAGAGAGAGGAAAAGGAAGAGATAATGAGGTAGAGAGGGACAGAGAGAGAGGGAGTGGTGCGTACGACACGTTAGCTCCTTCCGCGCTCGTTGGAGTCCGCGCTCATGGCCACTCATCATCTTCATCAGCAGTATCAGAAGCATCTTCCTCGTATCCCTCGATACCTTCATGGCATACCATCCATCGTCATCATCATGGTCAGCACGTCCAAACGGCCAATCATTCCAGTCGTCGTCATCACCATGCCCGTATTCATGGTCATGTTTTACGTCAGCACGATATTGAAGCTCGTGTCCTCGGGCATTCAGCGCCCCTACACCCTGGAGGCTCTGGATTGTCACCGGATCGCATATACTCATGCCAATTTTGAGCATCAGCATCCGAATCAACGTCATCCGTATACGTTCGCACGCATATTGGTTGCAGGATGCTCTCAAGCGGGCTGCTAGGGCCTCTTTTGTGACGTGCCCACCCACCAGGCACTGATTGGCAGACGCACGGGCGCCGGTCATCATGAGCTTGGCGTGCAGTGACCACCTCGGCCTCGCCGCCGCCGCCCCAGACGTGTGGCAGCAGTGGCCGGGGTGCACAGTCGAGCTCAAGGCGACGTTCATCCATCTGAGTGACCAGGTTTAGTGGCGAGCCCTGGTGGGAAGGCAGAGAGGGCGGGCCTTCTCAGAAGGATCGGGAGGTTTCTGGCCTTTGAGGAGTGTTCTGGGCCTTTTCCGAAGGAAAAGATGGCCTCTCAGAAGGCCAGAGGGCCTCTGAGAGGCCCCGCCGCCTCTGAAGAAGGTCTACACCCTCTGCATCCCCCCTTGTCGTGGGCGAAAAACGTATCCGTGTCCGCGGCCTCGCGTACCTGGCCCCTGGGCCGCGGATGCCCCGCGCAGAACTTCTCCGTGCGACCGCGTATCCGCGGAATCAAGCCGCAGGATCCGGACCGCGAGGGCGCGGACGTGGCTACGTTCGCCGCTCGTGAGCCCGAGCCCTCCGCCCAGAGGTCGAGGAGCGCTGGCGGCGGGAGCGGCTCCCGCGCTCCAGGTCGGCCCCAGCCGCGCTCGGAGGCGCCCGCGCCGAGCCCGTGGCAGAGTGCTCGCGCCGCACCACCCAAGCGCAGCGCAGGAGGCGGCAGAGGTCACCACGAGGAGAAAGGGGTTGGCCCTGAGGGGAACGCCCCCTGGGGGGAGGGATATGTCACTCGCCAAGGTCATCTAGGACTCCCAGGTGGAGTCCGAGCAGCTGGGGTCGGAGGATCGGCCCGCATCGCCGTTTCATGGGCGATGCGGCTCGACGTGGAGCCCGGTTGTGCTCCACTCCGACGGCGCCACTGCACCTCCGACGTCGCCTCTGCACCTCGGAGCCCATCGAGGAGGTGTCCAGGTAGGGCTTCGAGTTGCGCACGGACAGCCGGCCCCCGAGGTACTGCCAGCGGGCCCCAGCAGGCCCGCCGAGTGGGACCCAGCTGGCCTTGCCAGGCCCCCCGAGAAGTCCAGGGCGGTCTCAACACCCCAGCTGGGGCGCCGCCGGAGGCGGCGCCAGGGAGTTTCTGGAGGTTGGAAAGGGGTGTGGCATAAAGGGGTGTGGCGCCAATCGTGGAAATGGAGGTGCTATCTACGATATATAACCTCGCCAAATCCAGCTCTGGCGCCACACCCCTTTACACCAAAACCCCTTTCTCCAGGGTGTCGAGACCGCTCCAGACCACTGGGGGGGCCTGTTGAGGCCAGCTGGGACTGCCCGGGAGGCCTGCTGAGGCCAGCAGGGACTGCCTGGTGGGGCTGCCTGTGCGCAGCCCGGAGCCCCACCACCTCGCCCCTCGTCTGGGTTGGACGGAAGGGTGGATTGGGGAGTGGGCGGGGTGCGGAATCTGCCGGTGCCTTCCTCGATGCATCGACGCCTCTGGCGCCCGGAGGCGCCTGGACACTCAGCTACGCGAGCTGATTCGTTCACCCCCCCCCTTCCTATCCCCCTATCCCCCCGGTTCGTCCGAACCGATGAAGGACAGAAAGCCCAGGGAGGGAAAGACACCTCGCCCCTCGTCGCCTTCGGCCGAATCCTTTTCGAGGTCCTGACCGCGTTTCGCTGCGGGAATGGTCCCTGGGGAGTGGAGGCATCGGTATCTTTCTGCGCCCCCAGAACAGGGGGCCCGCCCTGGGGCCGAAACCCCCTCGCGTCCTGCAGACATCGCGACGGAAGGTGTTTGTCACTTTTCCACATTAGGGGGTTGGGGCCGTCACCGGCCCTGGGAAGATCAGAAAAAGGATCAGGATGAGAAGACAGTCCCAGAGAGGGGTCCAGGGTCCGTTTCCCTCAGGGGCCCTTTCGGCTCATGGAAAAGAGGGTCATGGCGAAGAAGAAGCGGCGCGGTGAAGCCTTGGCTGGCGGCGTCGAATCGCCGCTCTGAGGGCGCCCTCGTCGTCCCCGTTCCCTTCTCCATGACTCTTCACTCGGGATCCTCCTGCTCTTCCGCCTGCCTGCCTTATTCCTGGTCTCTTCTGTGCTCATGCTCCTTTTCCTCGCTCTCCCTACTGTAGTGCAGGCTGACGCGTAGCTTTGCAACTTTCACTCCCGCGGGGAAGAGGAGGAGGAGGAGGAGGAGAGGAGGAGGAGGAGAAGATGAGGGGGAGAGGAAATGGTGCGGACGACCCTCAGTTAGGTGGGGTCCACGCTCCATCGTGGAGTCATTTCCCGTCAGCCGGGAATATGCCCAGCCCAGCCCGGCGAGGCTGTGCGGCCGATAAGGCCCAGCCCAGCCCGAGAATATACGGTTGACAAGGCCCAGCCCGGCGAGGCCGTGCGTAGCATCGATCGGGATGCATCGCCATCGGTTCCTACCTACTCCTACTCCTATTCCTCCTTGCTCCTGGCACTGGCTACGGCTCGGATCGCTTCTGAGGGAGAGGTGCTGCCTCATGATCGCGCCTCTATTTTGCTTGCCAAGTTGCTGGATCGGCCCTGTACCGCACTGCCTGGCGGGTTGAGGCACATTTTTTTAGTTCGCATGCGATGTGATCACCGAGTCGGCCAGTGCGTCGGCCCCTGCTGCGGCGATGCCCGTCAGCCATTTGTGAACATTGCAGCAATCACAGCCGGGGCGCTGACGAAGGAACCCTTCTCGTTGGGGAGGGGCTCCGTGTTCCTTGACGGATTCGCAGCTTGCCTTAGGTTTTCTTGCTCTGTCTGTAGAAGAAAACAAGCAAACATAAGCATAAACTTTTGGCGCTCCGCGCGGGTTTCTTGGATCCTCCCTGGCGCGCGGAGCGCGCCAGGGGCGGCGCCGTAGGCGCCGCCGGGGGGCCCAGCGCAGATCCAAGAAAGTCGCGCGGAGCGCCGAAAGTTCATGTATATGGCGTTTTTTCTTCTTGAGATTATGTAGGGTTCCTTAGTTCAACGCCCCGACTGCACGGCGCAGCAGTTTCTTAAACGTAAGACACGAGCAAGCCAGAACTCGGGTTTGCAGAAGTTTTTTTTGACGAGCGCGTTCCGGATCTGACGGTCCAGTTTTCGTGGGATGTTTGCAGCGGGCGTTGTTTTGATGATGGCCCCTGTCAGTCGGGCCGGGCGAAAGGGGGGGATTGGGAAAGGGGGGGTTACGGAATTTGCTGCATGCAGCTGGTTTCGGCCTCACCGAGGGGCCCATTCCTCGATACATGGCCGCCTCCGGCGCCGGGAGGCGCCGGAAAATCAGCTACGTGAGCTGATTCTCAAACCCCCCCTTTGCTATCCCCCCCTTTCGCCCGACCCGAGTCAGGCCAACCCGAGTCCCTCGTGTGCCCGAGTCGTACGTCCTGTCGTCGAGTTCGCGCCGCGTTGGCGCGGCGGCGGCCCCCTAGGCGGGGACCTTCTCGCCGGGGTCCGCCGCCAGAGTCCCGGAATCGGCCGACGTGTCGACGATCCGCGCTATCATGTTTAGGTCGGGCCTGTCCCCCCACAGGCCGAGCTTCGAGGAACAAGTACACATAGTCAAACCAAAACAGAGTTAAACATTGCCAAACAAATGCTACACAAATAGTCCCCAGGCTATTGTTTGACTATTTTTGAATACTCCTCCTGTAGAGTTGGCCGATGTGTCGACGATCCGCGCTATTCTCAGGAGGGGAAGCACACAGACACAAGGAATCGTCGATCCCCCAGAACATATGGGAAACTATGGGAAGGGGGGAAAACGAAATCCCAGAAAGCATAGGAGAATATGGGACATCCTGTTATTTGTCTATCTGTTTGTGTGTCCCAGGGCCCCTTCCTATTATGGTGCTGCGGTTGTCCGAGTTTCCACGACCCACGTGGTGTCAGGAACCAGCGTGAAGTCTGGAGTGTGTCTCTACTGGAGGATGGTCAATGTTTTGTTGTTGTTGTTGTTGTTGTTGTTGTTGTTGTTACTGTTGTTGCTGTTGTTGTTGTTGTTGTTGTTGTTGTTGTTGTTGTTGTTGTTATTGTTAATTGTGTTAAGTCTTGGGACGACTATTTGGAGCATGTTAAATAGAATTTTGCATTGTTCGTCCAAAATGCGCCTGTAGGAGGACATGCCCGACCTAACGCTATGGTGAAGCCTCGATCGTCCAAGCTTCAACGAACCTCGCCGTGTCAGGAACCAGCGCCGACGTCATCGGGACGTGAACCACGATCTTGATCTGGGAGGCGCGGGGCTCGAGGGCGTGGTTCGGCACCCTCGCCTCGTTTTTCCGTTCTCCTATGCGCACGCCCGAGGGCTTGCGGATCGCATTCCTCTCGCTCTCTCCTCATCCTTTGCGCCACAGCTGCCAAGCGACAAAGAAGATCAATCGGTGGCCTCTCATGCTTTTGCCGCCGTAGAGGGTCTCGTGCTGAGCTTGTCGTGAGGTCGGTCGAGGCAGTCCAGGCAGCCGTATGAAGGAGGGATGGAGAGTGCTCCCCCTCTCCACCATCCTCCGTCCCGCGGTAACTCTCTTTTCCCCTCCCTCCTGGCGCCATTCCTCCATTCATAGGGGTAGGACTAGGAGAAGGGATCGAATGGGGTATCGACTACGAAAGTGATTTACCTAAAAATAAAAGTCGTCAGGTCCACGGAAAAGACGTAAGAAAGTTTGCGGAACTACGAAGTTTCTTCGTATTTTCGAGGATTCGCCTGGAAAAAGCAATTTCGGGGTAAATCAATTCTGTAGTCGAGCCCATACTCGAAGGGAGGGATGTACCCTGTCGCCCCGCTCCTTCTCCCCCGGAGGCCCCGCGAGAACGGACGCCCCCGAGGCCTCCAGAGCCCCGAGCACCCCAACCGCCAAACATGTGGCTCATCCTCGAGTCCTGACCCCCTCAAAGAGTGACCGCCAGCGTGGGTCCCACAGCAGAAACATATTCTCAGCTCAGTCTCAGCGTCTCTTCTCGTCCTCCTCGTCATCCTCCTCGTTCTCCTCCTCGTCCTTCTCTTCTCGTCCTCGTCCTCGTCATCCTTCTGCGTCTCTTCTCGTCTCCTCCTCTTCTCCTCCTTCTGCGTCTCTTCTCGTCTCCTTTTTTCGTCGTCCTTCTGCGTCGCTTCTTGTCTCTTCTCGTCTCATCCTCGTCCTCGTCCCTAGATTTTATCTCGGCGTCTCTTCTCGTCCTCGTCCTCGTCCTCGTCAGCCTTCTTTCTCCTCTTCTCGCCGGTGCTGTTTTACTTCTGGGCGGTTGCTGTACATAAAAGAAGCAGGTACTCGGTTCAGTACCTTCCCTCCCAGCGATCCGAAAAATCGCAGTAACCAGGGCCAGCGGGACTTGGGACTTGGGACTCAATGTGTAGCGACGACGAACGCGCAGCAGCTGAGTGCGGTTCATCTCGGCACAAGAATGAGCCCCTAGGCGCAAGCGGCCCAAGACGCCTTAGAGACGGCCAGCGGGGGACCCAAGACAGCTTCAACAGGGGGCCCAAGAGAAGGAGTCCTACTTCACATGTGAAGCCCTCCGCCCCAAAATATCCTTTGAGGCTGCCACCAGGCCCCGGAGAGGCTTCCGGGACGCTCCCAAGGTGCGCAGAGACGCCTGCAGAAGATTCACGATTTTCGCCGCTGACGTTGCAACAAATGGTAGCGTTCCCCAATCAGTGTTTGTACTGAAGGGGTCCTAGTGGAAATTGAAAGATTTGGCGAAAGTGTCCCGCCGATTTTGGTGGCCGGCTGGGTTCCCGGGTTCCCGGTTATTGGTTCCCGGTTCCTGGTTCCCGGGTTCCTGGTTATTGGTTCTGGGCCGATTTGGGTGGGTTCCGGGTTCCCGGGTTCCCGGTCGATCTCATTATCGATGTCTTTATCGATCCCATTTCAAACCATCCCTTGACTGGGGCTTTCTTGTCGAGTAATCGCAGATCAAACCACGATCGGAAGTCCGGATCCCGTTTTCGCGCGCCAAGTTTTCAATGAGCAAGATCGGCCGTGAGGGTCCGGGGGGCCCGAGGCGGGGCGAAAATGCCCGTTGGTTCTGGAGGATTTGTACAGTCGGGGCGCTGACTAAGGAGTCCTTTTCGTTGGGGAGAGGCTCGGTGTTCGTTGATTCCCCACCCGACAGGTTGGGGTTGTTAGATTTCAAGAACAGACCCCCTGGCCAATCCACCCTGCATACCGCGGCCGCCAGACCCCGAGTTGTCCTGGGACTCCCCCAGTATCCCCGACGCGAGAGTCCCTGGGAATCCCGCCCCCTCGCCCTCGACAAACACGACTGCATACCGCGGCCGCCAGACCCCAAGTTTTCCGGAGAGTCCCCGAGAGTCCCCGAGTGTCCTTGGGAGTCCCGCCTCGCGCCCTCGATGAACACGCAAACACGAAACAGCACATCAGTACACAACATAACATGACATAACATACCATAGCAATAGCATGACACCACCTAGCGGAATATAACTTCCCAAAACATACCCGTGCAGAACATTACATGACAGAAACCGACAGAACACACACTAACATAGCATCATTGATCATACCATAACGCACCTTGACGGGACATATCATATCATGACACAGCGTTCAGAACATATCATCACACGACAACAGAGCATAGCGACGAAAACGACATAACACAACGTGCCACATCATAATATAACATAGCATAGCACAACCATGACATACCATGACGGAACGTAACGTGGCAGTACCATTACACACCAGATCATGACATAACATCACAGACCATACCAGAGCATATTTCGCCAGGTCAGACCAACATAGTGTACATAACACGACATCACAGAACAGCGCATGCCATAACATGACAAAACAATGCATAGCATGAAATAGCAGAGCACACCAGAACATCACAAAACAAACCAAACCAGAACGTCACATAACAGAGAACCACAAAGCATCACGGAACAAACCAAGCCAGAGCACAAGATAACATCACAGAACAAACCAAAACCAGGCCAGACCCCCAGTTGTCCCGAGAATCCCGCGGGCGGCTTCCTCGCCTGCGTCCCTCAGTCTAAGGATGGGAGGAGGGAGGGAGGAGGAGGGGAAGGAGGCATGGGACAGGAAGAGGAGGACAGGAGCAAATCGTTTTATTGTTTATACAGTTTGCCTTTGGTTTTCCTTAGGTTTCCCATTTGGAATCGAAGTCTAACTTATGGGAGAAAAGGGGCCTCGTTTCTTCTTTAGCGTTCCTTAGGTCAACGCCCCGACTGTACGCCCACACCTGCGGCCATCCATTCTGGAACGAGCAGTAGGTCGTCCCGCGGCCCATCACAGCGGCCAGCGAGTGTTGGGCTTCCCGCGCTGGTCGTCGAGAGGGGAGATGCACCGCCCATTCATGTACAGTCGGACCGAGGTGTAAGATCGAGGTCGATTCGGGGAGGGTACCCTTGTGTTCTTCGTGTTCGTTGGATGTCCTTGTGCATCACGGAGGATCTCGTGTCCTTCCGGGATGCTCTTCTGGCCCAGGTCGGGATCTCCGGTGATGTTCTGGGGGGGTGAAGGCACGGGGCGAGAAGTGATCGCATGATGGGCCTGTTTTCCACCGCCACCACCATAAGTGGGAGGGGGGGAGGAGGTGGAGGATGAGGAGGAGGGAGAAGAGGGGGAGGAGGAGGGTGATCCCCTTCCCCTCCTACTTCTGGTGCTGGCGGTGGAGAAGAGGCCCACCCCACCAGTCTTAGCAGTCTGAGAACTGTCAGGGCTTGTTATTGTCTCGCGCCTGAGGCCACGGCACTCCTGCCGCGCAGCCAAGCGCACCTTGCAGGTACTACGATTAGGTCGAGCGTCTCCCTTTACAGGGGGAATTCTCAAAAATACGCAAAAAATTCTCGTGGGATGTTTTTTGAGCATGTTTCGGCTATTGTGGTGTGTGTTGACGAATTTTGATTTTGTCGTCCAAAAACCCCCTGTACGGGGGCATGCCCGACCTAATATCTCGAGGAACGCCCGTCGGGCATTGACGGCGGACATACAGCGACAAGTTTCGGTTGCGGGTCTTGTGTGGCCCGTCTCTCCTCCTCGCCTCTCTCTTCGCCTCCCGTTCGCTCGTGGCCCTCGGCCCTCGTCGCCTGCTCTTTCGGCCTTCAGGCGGTCCCCTTCGCTGGCGGGGTCCGCCCCTGTCCCTGCGCTTCTCCGCACGTGTTGGAGCTCCAATCACACGGGAAAGAGCTTCCTTCGCTCCACAGCCGTGTGCAGCAGCAGCTCCGGCAGTCCTGGAGCAGGCCTCCCCTGAGATCTGGTCCTCCACAGAGATCCAAGGGCTCCCACGAGGGCGCCAAGTTATTCGCGCTTCGCGGTCCTCGTTCCTTCTCCCCCCTCCTCCTCGTCCTCCTCTTCTCCCTCTGGGGGGGCGGCGCGAGGGCGCGAAGTTATTCGCGCTTCGCGCTTCGCGCAGCGCGAAGCGCGAAGTTGGGAGCCCTTGGAGATCTGGTCCTCCACAAAGATCAGGGCAACTTTAGGAGGGGATCGGCTCAAGGGGTACGCATCGACCCCCAGTCGCCGATCCATCTCCGACAGCCCACCCCTCCCAGCGACATGTGGATTCGTTATCGGAGGCCCATCCCCGATGTGTCGGCGCTGCATCGCCGATTCCAGCTCGATGCTTCCCCTCCTGCGCCGGTCCCCACCAACGTTCCCCCTGACTTCTGTCCCGTCTGCGTCTTCGTGAGTGTTCTGTGTGGTCACCACCTTTGTTCGCCCAGTCCCCTCTTGCCAAGTCCGCCCCCGAGGCAATTCTCGAATCGACGCTCCAGACACGAACGTTGTAGAGGAGCTCCTGAACCAGCTCCGGCCCGAGAACATGAACGTTCTCCTCGTAGACCCGAACGCGACAACAAGCACTGCCTTCAGCTCGAACGAGGCGATGCGAGGAGAAAGGGGGAACGATCAACAGGCAGCGGCAAACGGTGGAGGGGAGGCAAAGGCGGAGGATGCAGACAGGAGTATATAAGAATGAGGAGGACTTGGAGCCGCAGTAGCAAAGAAGGGGGCGGAGCATGAGGAGTCGCGACGGGCCATTGGCGGGGCTGGAGCGCTGTACCACAGAGGAGGCGGAGGAGTGGGAGTGGCGATGGGCCAGGCCGAGTGGCAGCGCTCTCCGTGCGTCCCCCTCCCCTTCCCCCTCCTTTCCCTCCCAAGCTGCGCTTCTCGTCTCCCCTTTCCTCTCCCCTCCGTTCCCTTCCCCCCCCTTCTCCCCTCCCCCACTGTCCTGGCAACGGGGAAGGGGGCAGGCAGGGAACGGGGGCGAGCGGAGGGGACGGGTGGTACAGTGAGCGGCTTGAATAAGGAACACTTGCTTTTCAAATGGGGCTCGGCCGTTCCTCAGGCTTGCATGCGTTACTTTTCGCTCCTTATGCGTTATTTATCAGATACCGTTCCTTATGCGTTATTCCTTGGACAACGGGGGCTTCGTTCCTTGTTTATCCTTCCTTGGGTCAGGCCGATACCTCTACTTCTGGTCGAAAGTTGTCTTGATGTGGCTTGATCCTGGCAAATCCGGTTTTATCCCGACCAATCCAGTTCAATTATTTACGATCCATGCTTAATCCAGCCAGTCTGGCCTGTTCCGGCCCAGGGGCCATTTACAACTGGGCTTCATTGCCTTTCATCGCTCTGACGAAAGCCTTCCTTCGGAAGTCGGTGATTTCATTATCGCCGAATTGCAGCTCGCATTGCTGAGCAACTTGTGAAGCTGCTGGTCCAAACGACTTACCGCAGGATGTCTGGAAAGGTGCGGCTCGACAAGCACACGCATGCGAAGAAATCTTTGAACAAAAGAGTTGGAGGGCTGAGCACATTCGAAGCACGTGGCGTAAGGCACACGCATTGCTATTGTTCAACACAGGCAGCACGGCATTTTTCCCAACAGTTACTGACCACAATCGTTGCTTTTGTTGGGCACGGCGTCTTGGGTGGCAGTGTTACACCAACAATTTCTCCGAGGAGGATTTGTACAATGACAACGACATTCACACTTCGGATTCTGGCCTCGTCGGGGGACCGCCGAGGCGCTAATGTTGGTGCGTCGCATGATCGACGCATCTTCGTTGACTCAGACTGGTTGTTTCGTTTATCTTCTATCTGACTGGGCAAAAGCCGTTGATCGATTGAAGCAAGCCTATTTATGCAGGGCCTTGGCACGTTTAGGGCAGCCACGACTTATCGTATATATGGCCAGAAGTATTTGGCCACAGCGTTATTTCATACTGGCCGACCATAGTGGTAATTCATCTGAACGTCTGCGCGGTATTGGTATCACGCAAGGTTGTCCTCTCTCACCACATGTGTTTTTCTGTGTCGGAACGGTGATGCTGGCAAACTTGTTGTCGGATCTGCAATTTCACCAAGAGCCTGGGTATGTAGTGACCCCTGATGCTTTTGGACGTAGATGACTCAGGGCGCCGGAAGGGGGGGTGGACTGCGGGTTTGTTGTTGTCTTGCAGCGCACGTTTTCCTGAATCGGGCGGTTTTGCCCAGCCTTGTTTTGTGGGTGTTCCAGGATCTTTTGGGTCGCGTTCGATGTCTTGGGGACGATGATCATCGTTGCGAGGTCGCCTCTACTTCGCATGATCGCCAGAGGTCCTGTTAGCTCCCCGTGGAGGTGCGTGCGCTGTGAAGACTGCGAGGTGGTTGGGGCTTGCAGTAATTTAGGAATTACAACGCAGCGACGCGCCACTTGAATGCAGTTTTGGTTTTCAGTGGCCATGCCCCGGTTTAGGGGGGTGCTGGTGCAGGAAAATTGGCGGACGGTGCAGGAACAATGCGTAGTTATTTTCGATTTGGGTTGTTCGTGCTCTGTGTTGTTTGCAATCTTGGGTCTCCGTGCAATCGTGGTTTACCGTGCACGCCTTTCGGCGCCCCCCCGCCCCCCCTCACTCACTCTCATCCTGCTCGCAACGCTCACCCTGTTTCACTGTGCGCTTCCCGTCTCCGTCCACATTTCCCCCTGCTGCCCTGCTTTACTCCCTCTCCTTCCCGCCCCTCTCTCTTCCTCTTCCTCCCCTCTCGCCTCGCGGTCGCCGAGTCCTGTGCTGAGCTTTGCGCCAGTGCTCCCGTTTAGTGCAGCCCCCGTCTAGTTGGGAACGAGACAGCCCTGGTATTGCACAGTGCTGACCTCAGCAACCGCTGGGCTGTTTGGCACTTCGCTGGGAAAGGACAGTGCCGCTTAAACTCGCTACAGTTGACAAATACATTAGTTAGGGGGGCATTCTACCATTCGCTTGCAGCAAGAAGTACAGGTATACACACTTTGCGTCCTCAGCAAACTCTCGGGTTCGTTCGGTCCCTCGTGGTGGTTGACATCGCGCAAAGGCCATGCCCGACGCTTTCCACTGGTATTGCACCATGTTGTTTGCTTCGGGTATTTGGTGCCGCTGTGGTGGACACGGCGGGCTCCAAGCCTCTGTCCGCAATCCTTGGCGACCTTTCACACGGATTTGTTTTCTGATGACCTTGCAGTGCGACGCTTCATTAGTTCAATTACGAGTGTGCGATGTCAGAGGCGGCCTTTGGAAATTAGGTCCCCGAGCGTGGACGCCAGGCTTGTCCGACACAGCAATGAACGCAATATGTGCGCGATCTGGGACGCGATTGTGTTTAGTTGTATTTCGATGTGTCTCCTTTTGCACCCCCGCTTTTCGCCCTCTTCCCTCCTCCTCCCCTACCCCGCCCTCGGTTCCGTTCGTTTCTGTTTGCCGCAAGGGTAAATACTCGTCCGCCTCAGTCTGCGTCTGAGACATGCAGCAGGTCAATGTCGGGCATACAGGCCGATCCTCGATTCGAGGTTGGTCCCTGATCTCGTCCGCTCTTTCTTTAGGTCTGGCAATTATATTTCAGGGGGTCCACCGGATAAACCTGCCAGTATCTCCGGGACATCTTCAACAGGAAACTCATTCCCCAACAAAAACTTGAAAAACAATCTAAACCAGAACCTTTGTCTTTTCTTCTCTTTTCGCCAGTTGTTTCCGCCTGATGTGGCTAGCTCCGGTATGCTGTGTAGCTGTGTTTCTTTGTCTTGCCATCTTGCCCGGTCAATTTCTTGACGCAAGGCTTCGGTCAGTCATCCAGTCCAAATGCCATCCAGGAGGTGCTTCCGAAAGGGCGGGGGGGGGAAAACGGGAGAAGGGAGGGTCGGGGAAACGTTAGAGTCGAGTACGCCGTAACTCGGGTTTCCCGGCGCTTTTTGACGAGCGTGTCCAGGATTCAGACGGTGTAGCCTTCGTGTGAGGGCTTCTCCGGAAGGTCGCGTCAAATTTCAAATTGGGTCTCGTCATTTGAAAGAGCGCGTTCTACCGCTGCTGGCGGAAATCCGGGGGGGGTCATTACCGGTTCGAACCCTCCTCCCCTCCCCCCCTTCGGAAAACCGGGGGGGGTCACTACCGGTTCGAACCCCCTCCCCCCCTCCCCCAGTCCATCATGAAAAGGGGGGGGGTCACTACCGGTTCGAACACCGCCCCCCCCCCCCCTTGAAAACCAGGGGGGGGTGCGGACAGTGGTGGGGACGGTGGTGGTGGGGACAGTGGTGAGGGGACAGCGGGACAGTGGTGGGGACAGTGGGACAGCGGTGGGGACGGTAGTGGTGGGGACAGCGTTGAGGACAATAGTAGGAACTGTGGGGACAGTTGGACAGTGGTGGGGACGGTGGTGGTGGGAACAGTGGTGTGGGGACAGTGGCGAGGACGGCGGTGGGACAATGGGACAGAGGTACAGTGGGGACAGTGGTGGGGACAGTGGGGACAGTGGTGGGAACAGTGGGACAGCTCAGTGGGACAGCGGAGGAGTCAGTGGGACTGTGGGGACGGTGGGGATGGTCGGGCAGTGGTTGGGGCCGTGGAGAAAGCGGGGAGAGTGGAACCGTGGTGGGAACAGTGGTGGGGACACGGGGGACAGTGCGACAGTGTTGGTGGCACTGGTGGGGACAGTAGGGGCGGTGGTGGAACCAGTGGGGACAGTGGTGGTGAGGACAGTGGTGCTGGGAACAACAATGGGGGATGTGGTACTTGAATGATCGCTCTGTTTCCTAAGTAGATAGATGCTTCATAACCAGATATGAGAAGTTTATAACATAAGTTATACACCGTATATAAGTTGTGAGAACTCGTTTACATTCGACTGAACCATTTATATATTCACATCGACGAGCGCTATCCATATAGCTCTAAGTTAATCAGGTTGTTATTGGAGCCCTGCCACGTTAAGCTACTTAGTGTACACGACCGAAGTGGCCAGGGTAGGTTAGTAAACTGGTTACGGTTCTGGGACCTAAACTGTTTACGGGTTTCCCCTAAACAGGTTACGGCCCGCCTTTAAATTGTTTAGCTACATCAAAAAACCAAGTTAAACATCTACAAAATCAAGTTAGACACCAGTGATTTTAATATGGATGTTGGTCATTTTGAAAATGAGGATCAGCAGCTCAGATATCAGCTTCTTGATTATTATACAAGAAACCGGCGGATGTTGAACCAGCTTCTTGATTTCCGAACAAGAACAGCCCATCCCACCACTCAATATGTAGCGTTGCCGTTCTGGCTCAAGGCGTCGTTCCTTTCGCGAGGGGTCTCATCGGACATCGAGCTGGCCATGTCGGCCTCAGTGGTGAAGGCCATGCGCGATGTCGACCCCAAAGTTCAGCACTTGCTTACATGGCCGAATGATGGAAGTAAATTCAATCAGATGTGGAGCAAGGCCGATTAGTTGGTGGCCCTTTTGCTGGACAACAACCTGGCCCGCAAGGAGCGCATCCCGAATAAGTTCTGCCGCCCACACGTGGACAACAGGTACCAGACAGGGGTCGACCCCTTGGACGTGCATGCGTTACTTCTCCTTGTTGTGAGCCAGGCATGGAGCTGGCCCCAAGTT